ACTTGGGAGAGCGTGGTGCTGACAACACCAAGTTAAGGGTTAAGATCCCCTTACCGATCATCTTTATTTTTTTTTTTCCTTTTTGTCTTTTTTACTGACCGGTAACGGGATCGCAACTCGATCATCTTTAAAAGAAAGAAAGAAAGCAAGCTACAATGAAGAAGAGCATCTTTATAGATGATAGAGAGATCAGGAGGGTTCACAATGAAAAGGTGATCTTCAGAGGACAGTGTCAGGGTCACTGTTCAGCCTCCCCTTCCCACCTGAAGATCCTTTTCCCAGAGCAATTTTCTACTCAAATCTTAAAGGAGACTATGTCTTGTTTTAACAAGGGAGGCTGTTGCTTCCCACCTATTCTCTCTGTGATGCAACGTTAACCTTCTTTCCTCCTCTCCAGCCCCAGCTCGCCCCCCAATTCCCAACTACAGAAACCCCAAGGAGCCTGTTCTTTAAAGCAAGCATCCCTCAATTACTAAAGGTAGCAGGAGTCATTTTTCATCCTGGACAAGTTCCAGCTTGAGAAAATGCCAAGGCAGTGACTCTCAATGAACAACAGACCTTGAACTTAGTGTCACTGCAGAGGGCAGGGCACCGGCCTGGATGTCAGAAGGCCTGGCTTTTAGGTTGAGGTCTCCTGTCACTGACCCACTGCGTGAACTGGCCAGTGCCACATTCCCGAATATGCAGATTAAATACATGTTTAGGCCACCAACAACAGAAGTATAAGGGAGGGAGAGAGAAAGAATCTAGTAAGAAGCTACTCTCATTTCAACATACATGTGAGCTTTGAGTCATTTCAAAAAAGTAACACGTTATTTGAAGGTTTAGTATTGCTTTCATTTGGAATTATACAAGAGGAGGCACTAAAATATCTTTTCAGCATTCAGGGCTACTGAAGATCTTGATACGGCAGGGAGCCTTTGGACAGGTCCCTTCCATTTTCTGGGCCTGGGTTGTTAGGTGTTACAACGCTCACAAGTTAATGACTGAATTTTTTTTTCATGCCATGTAGTGTGAACGGACTCCACCCAAGTTAGAGAGCTACAGGAACAGATGACGTAAATGCGCCACTCTCCTCCTGTAACCTAATCAACTTCATCAAGGTCAAAGTTGAGCCCAAGAGCCATAATTTGAATCTTCTCCTATTTAATCTACCATTCCAACATCCTGACACTTTTATCGCTTTAGCTGTTCACTTGTCTAAAAAAGGAGAAGATTAAATTTCTTGTGGAGGAAATTCTAGTGGACATTTTGGTATCCAAATTTCCAGGGAAGATGTTTTCAACACATGGAAATACTATGAAGCAGACCAGGAATTTCATGGTATTTAAAAAGAAAATGGAAAGAGGGGGGGGCAGGGAAAGAAAAAAATAAAAGAGAAAATGGATTCGCTTCCCTTCCCCATTCTGTCAACCCACTGTCCCAAGGGCCTCTGGGGATGTCAGGTAAGACAGAGACAAAGTGAGCCCAGGCAGAGTGTTTGTTCCAAGTCTCCAAAGATCCCCCCTGCTCCACCCCACTCAAGAGACCATCTCCCCTCCTCATTAGCAAGGAAGGTCAGACTCAGGGCCTACAACACCTCATCTGATGGCAAACTAACTGCAGTCTAAGAAGTGCGGTTTTCATTTTTTCATCTCTGTATAGATTACAACAGTCTCCCCTCGCAATGGAATCATGATTTAAACATAAATAAGCCAGCTCTCCTTTCTGATTTGGAGCCAGAGTTGCCACAAAGTTAGAAAACAAAGAGGCAGGAATTTTACGTAAAGATGAAGAGGGAGTTTCCACCATGGACCCAACTGAGCTGTATTCAAGCAAAAATAATTGCAAGAAGCAACAGCATCTTTCCCACAGCAAGTTCATGAGCTAGTGTAACATGATAGCTCTCCAGTGTTATTAAACATACCTAGAGTTATCTAGTGCTTCAGTGACTTCCTTGATCGCAAAGGAGATATTATACCCCTAGGCAATGGCCTGATTGCTTTTGTAATTCTCACCTAAGCACCTACAAACATTAAATAGATCTCCAAGGGAGGAGTGGGAAAGCTTGGATTGACTCAGCATATGGCGGCAGACATGGAGCTATTTCCCACTGGCTCTGACCCTACCATTCTTGAGATGAAGAGCACAGAGTACAGGCCACGGATGCCATGAAACGGGTCACATTCAAAGCCAGAAGTAGGGAAAAACTCAATTTATAGGCAGGGTCACGCTAGAGTGTGGCAACTGCCACAGATCCACAACCAGAGGGGTCTGGTTCAGTCCTGTAGTGCAACCTCTCCTCCTCCCGGCCCTGTCCCCCACCCCATACCAGTTACAAGACCTTCTAGGGCAGTCTCAAAGGGGTTCAAGTTACCAAAGAACAGCCTTGAGGGGGGGGGATGTTGCCAGGCAACCAGCCCAGCCTAGTCCCACCCCTGTAACCTTGAAGGTGGTTCGGGCATGACCCATGATTTTGTAGAGAAGCACCTTATACTCTTTTAGCATCCACTTTCTCCTCCTCCACCTCTCTCCTCTCCCTGTTCTCCTCCTGCTGCTACTCAGGGTCCCAGCCCAGAGTGTAGGCAATGGGCCAGTCTGACTTGCCACTACTCAGTCCATCAGTGGCAGCCAAGTTGTCCCTGCAGGGAGGCTACAAGCTGCTGTCAGCTGTCATTCACTCTGGCCATGTCCCTTCCAAACCTTCCTCCCTCCTTCCTAGGTTTCTCCTGCCCTCATGGTGGAAAGAAATACCTAGAGGAAGAGTTTGGGGTAAATCCAGCCAGATGGAGAATATGTAGGGTAACATGCCGACCAGGAGTGCTGACCCCAGTAAAGAGTGGGAGTGCTAGGAGGAAAGGGCACAGAAAAGGAAAAAGGGCAAGACCTGACATGCTTGTTTGTTTGTTTGTTTATGGTCAAAATCTAATATTCAGCCTGCTGAACACCTTGTTGAAGCTTATGCCTGAGTGAGGAGGGGGTGGCCAGATGGTGCACTGATTATCCTCCCCAGCTCTCTTTGCATTTGGCACTTATGCTCAGACCATTGCTGAGAAGGCCTAATTTAATTGCTACACAATCACAGCTCCTGAAGAGAAAAGTGCGCACTGGGAACCTTAAGGGGAGTCAAGAGTAGGGCTATTAGACCAGAAAATGGAAAATCAGACCTTTTCGCCAGCTTACTTTTGTGTTCCGTTTATGCAGCAATCCCCTGGGTGCCTCTGAGCCAAGCAAACCATGTACATTCTCAAAGGCAAGAGGCCACACTGACGATGAGAGATGGCCACTCTCCCAGCTCTTACAAACTTCCAGGAAGCCAAACCAATGGCAACATAAGAATTGCTCCCTTCCTCTAAAAGATACCCATTTCATAAAGCCATCTCTTTCTAACTCAGCAGATCACCAGAACAGGTTAGGTCCAAGGTGACTTGGTGAAGCCATTCCCTTCCATGGAAAGAGCTCGCTGACTCAGCGGACAGGAAGGTACGAGCTGGAAAAGCAGAGCCTCCTCCCTGCCCTTGACTTACCCTGCTGAACTTAGTAGGTGGCTCTCTGCAAGCTGTGCGGGGATTTCGAAAACTACTCCCCTAAACTGACTTACCAAATTTCTCCTAGACTAATCCCGGTAAGCAGTGAGACCCCAGCAAAAATTCAAAAAAACCTGAAAAATCAAAAAAAAAAACAATGCCCTTTTTACCCCCTTTGTTAACTGAGCTTTCCTGGGGCTCCCCCATGTCCCCTGTCTACATTCCATCTGTGGCTCACCTTCCTTTTCCCACAGGACCTAGTTCATTTTTCTCCATCTCAGCCATCTACCTCAGAGGTCAGAGACCTTTATGAAGAGTTGTACCAGGGGCCTCTGACTCCTGTCCTGGAAAGGCGTAGATGGGGTGAGGTCTGTAACAGAAAGGGGCTGACTCAGGCAATTCTTTCCCAAGGCAGCTGGAGGCTTGCCCTCAAAAGTCACCCAGTAGCTATCTTCTGCCTCCATCTGAAACTTTTTGGCCACACTGCTCCTCCTCTCCCCTAACATTCTGGAGGCACCTATTGGCCCTGGTACCTGGCATGCCCCAGCTGTGGTCAGCATTTCCAGCATATTCAGTCCCCTTGCTTTCAGCAGAAGTCCCATACTCTAAGGGAGCACTGCATTTCCACGTAGAAGATCCCCCATTTAAAGTGTTGGGATCCAAAGTAGTAAAGAAAAGGGCTCGCCTTGCCCGCCTACCCTCTCACGGGTCCTGCGTGCTCATTAACGGCACCACTGGGACCTGGCTTTTCTCAGGCATGGCTGATTCCTAAAGCGAATGCACTTCAGGAAACTGATGACAGTTCCTTTAAAAGGTTCTCATCAGCAAATCCGTGCCGCCGGACCCCAGCAGTGGGGGGAGGGCCAGGGGCAGTCTCCCCTCCCCCCTTCCCAGCCACTCCCTGACACAGCAGCCCTGAACGTGCCTGGAGGAGCAGGAGGGAGGGCGCTCAGCACTCAATTGCGAGGTGCGTTCACGCTGCAGCGCGAAGTTGCACAGATTTAAAGCTAGTAGGCACTGCCTCCCGGCTCCTGCCGCCGCGTAGGTGGCGGGCGGCTCCAGCGCGCTTTCCGAAGTGGCCGAGCTCCTAGACCGGAGCAAAGACGCCAGCAGCGCGGCCATTTGGTTCCCGACGCCGCGACGATGGGGACGCCTCAGGCCTGGGGGTGGCGCCGATGTCGTCAGGGTCCCGGCGACACCTAGGGACCCCGCGCCCCCGCTCCCCAAATCCCCAGGAGGCGGCTGCCAACCCCAGTGCCGGGAGCCCCGAGGGCACAGGGTCACTCAGGATGGCGCGACCGGGTCCAGGAGCAGGAAGTTCCAGCGGTAGAGCGGCGGGGAGGGGTGGTGTCAGGAAAACGGGATCCCCTCACTCCCCGAAGGGAGGGAAGGGACGGAGAGAGGCGGTGACGGGGTGGGTGCAGACCTGGGCGCCTAATGGCGCCCCCAGAGGCGGGGTAGACGCGGGGCCATGAGCCGCCGGGAGCCGTTTACCTAGCTCTTCCTCCTCGTCCTCCGGGCCAAGCAGGCGGCAGGGAAGGCGGCGGCGGAGGCGCACGGTGCGCCGGTATAGGCTGTCGGTGCGGCGTCCCAGGGCCAGCAGGTGCCCCTCGAGGTCCTCAAGCAGAGCCAGCGAGTGGCCACAGAGGTCGGCGAGCTGCCGGAGCAGGCTGAGCGCGGCCAGGTGGCTCACGTCACGGAGCTCTGCCGGCGGCTGCGGCGGATTGCGCGGGCACAGGCGCTGGGGCCGAAGTACCTTGCTCTTCAACTCTTCTGCCTTGCCTCCTCCTCCCTCGCTATGCTACTTCGGGATCCCCCCACCCACCTTTTTTTTTTCTTTTGCGGTCAGAGATTCGCAGATTAATGCTTGATCCGGGAGAGGAGGGAAAGGGAAGTAGGAGTAAAAAAGAGCGAGCTGGAGCGTGAAAGAAGGAATGTCTGCGTGAATGGGGCGGCGGGGCGGGGACGGGTAGAGGGGGTTAATGTTCGGTACAGGATGTGTGCCCGCGTCCTCCTGCGGAGCTCGAGCCCCAGTACTGATGGTTAAAGTTGTTTTCTGCTTTCTTTTTAACTTCAATTTTTTCTTCGTAAATACTAAAAATTCAAGCGCACCCGCGCCCACATCAGCGAGTAACCAGCGGAGACCGACCGAATGGTCTGACTTCATTCATCTAGCTTTCCTTCCCCAAACATATACCCGGCGCCATGCATGGGCTAGACCAGACTGAGTACAGCCTTCTAGCGCTCAGGAGCTTGAAGTAAGGGGGACTACTCGTGTGGGCAGTGTCTCTGGGGAATCCCACAGTGCCTGGACATTGTAATGAATGGATGAAAACAAATCCATTTTCTGGAACAATAGATTCAAGGAGGATAGAGGGACACCACTCCATATTTTATGCAAAAGAGAGCCCAGAACGTCCTCCTGGTGGGGCCCACCAGATGGGATGGGTTCCTTTCCTGGCCATACTGGGCTTTTGGGATGCTCTCCGAGGAGAGAGTACAGGAACTTTCAGTGCTGGCAACCCTGTGGTCAAGTCCTGATTTCTCTTCATTCTAGAAGGTAGAAAAGAGGGGAAAATTGTCCTCAGAAAACCAGAGTGTTTTAGTGTGTGTATGTCCTTGTGCACCTGGGGAGTTTCCACAAAAAACACTTAAGTTCAACACACTGAGCTCCCATCTGATTCTCTTCTAACCCACTCCTTTGACTTCGGTGTGCTTCCATTTCTTTCTTCTCATAATTCGCTCCTTATCTTTCCTCCTACAAATGTTCACATCCTTATAATCCCTTATACTCTATTAGTAAAACACTTTGAACAGAATACCTGTGTCTGCACTAATGATCCTGAGTGTGGCTTGTTTTTATTTATTCCTTCAGAGAATTAATTGCCCCTTAAGCAGTTCAAGAAGGCTCTACAACTAGTATATCTCAAAATTGCTAAAATAATAGATTTTAAATGTTCACACAACAAAAAATAAGTATTTGGGGTGATAAATATGTTAATTAGCTTGATTTAATCATTCTACAATGTAGGTGTATACATATATCAAACATCATATTGTACCCCATAAATATATACAATTTTTTTTTTTAAAAGATGACTGGTAAGGGGATCTCAACCCTTGACTTGGTGTTGTCAGCACCACGCTCAGCCAGTGAGCAAACCGGCCATCGCTATATAGGATCCGAACCCGTGGCCTTGGTGTTATCAGCACCGCACTCTACCGAGTGAGCCACGGGCCGGCCCTTATACAATTTTTTGTCAATTAAAAATAAGGTAAAGAAAAGAGTAATCAGATTACCCATTTCAGTAAATAGTTGTTCTTTGTTTAGTACATTAGAACATGGATACTATAAAAGTTGCATTCTAATTAAGAATCAACAAATGGGCAAAAGACAACATCCTTTCTGAACTGTAAAATCCAGTTGCTGAATGAGAACCCCAAATTCCCTATTCGGTGAACTCAAACTTAAGCCAAGAGAGTGACTGGCAGGAAGCAGGGACTTGGCTGGACTCTCCAGGGATACTTTTCCTTGAACTATGAGCTGTTTAGACTAATCTCGACTCAGCAGCAGAAGAAATGAGGTACGAACAGATTGAAAGAGATTGTGGGCAGAGCTTTGCTGCCTGAGCACAGCAGGCCTGGGCAGGGCCTGGTGCCTGAGAGCCCTTCACTACTTCGATTCCTGAAGCTGATGAATCTTTCAGAGCTCTATAATAACAAGCTCAACTCCAAGCAAATCGGCTTTAGCCCCACACCCTTCCCCCGCTGCCTAGTCCACTCACTCCAGCCTCTTCAATGAGATGGCCCTGGCTTTCATCAAGGAAACATCAAGGATTTGCATTGGAACCACCTCAGAGCAGAGCCCCTCCTCCCTTCCCAGGACCAGAGCGGGACTGCATGTATGATGGAAAATGTCCAGAGAATATGTCTTCACCTTCCTTATTTCCTGTCTCTTCCCAACAGTAAAGGTGAAGACCTCAAGTGAGGGGCTGCCTTAGAGTCAAGAGGCTGGCCTGGATGTAGAGAGCACCAAGGGAAAGAGCACAGGGGGCCTGGCTGTGGTCTGTGGAGGAAGAGTTGGGGTCCTAGGAATGTCACCCCAAGCTGAAGCCAAGCTCATGGGGCAAGAAAGCATCTAAGGTGAAGGGTCCTCTCCTGTGCTGCCACATCACTCTCCAGCACAGCATCTGGCATAATGTACTGGAGGGTAATCTGATCATCCTTGTTTAATAATAATAATGATATTTCTTTGTAATACTATTGTCTCCCCCACTAGACTGTTAAATCCATGAGAGCAGGAACCATGTTTGTCTTATTCACTGCCAGATGCCCAGTGCCAAATCCATTAACTGGCACACAGTCGGCGCTCAGAAACTGTCTGCTGAATGATGAATAAATGAAGGTGTATAGGCAGAGCCAGATATGAAGAGCCTTAACTAAAGGATTTAACTTGGCCAAAGGGGAATAGAGAGTCATTGTGGATTCTGGAGCAGAACAGTGCCTAACACAAGGAAGGAGGTGCTTAAGAACTTTTCATGTGGAGGCCAATGTTGCTACACCCCACGTGCACCCACATCCCCAGGGCCAAATAGCCAGTAAGTGCTCCAGGAATTAAACATTTCCTTTGATTTGCCTATAAACTTTGTCAGTACACATTCAAAAGAAGAGAGAGGGAGGGAAGGTGCAAAAGAAATGGAAGGCCCTCAACAACCAAGCCAGATCCGAACTGTGGGGTACTTCCTACCCAGCTACCAACTTCCAGGCTCCAGGCCTGTAGCAGTTTATCCTGTCACCATGCTCGGAGTTGCAATCTGAGCCTAAGCTGGGCTCACCTGTGGAATCGGATATGGATCTGGCCTAGAAGCAGAGACTGAGAAAGAATGGCCAGAGAGGCAGGAAGGAAATGGGAGAGTTGACCACTCATAACCAACCAGACTCCTGCTATCCTTCCCACCTCCCATCCTGCCTACCTAGCTGCTGCTGAGAACCTAGAATTTCAATAAAAAACAAATTTGAAAGAATACGTGATATAGGATATGCCATTTCTCCTCTTTCAAGCTGACACAGCTACAAAATGACAATTTATGAGCATACCTCATGCAACTCACCTAGCTTCCCAGGACATCGCTCAGTCTTATTTCAGGATGAGAAACAAGAAAGCTGCTTCCATGTTGCTACCTCTCAAATACATCCAAATAGTAGCAATGTGGTGGCTTAGAAGGGATGCTGGTTTTCTAGTTGACTTTCCTCCATAGTCAATCAATTGGTTTATCTAAGTTTGAAGAATATACAGTTCATCCACATCCCTTCCTACGAGACTGAGTAAAGACGCTTTCATTATGAATGGAAAAAATATATAGCCAGTAGGGGGATGAAAATGATGCTCATCAGTACCAACTCTAACATTCTGTTGTTCCGTGATTCTAAGTGCCGTACCAAGAATTGGCAAACACTAGATGGACTCTTCTTTTTTTTTTTTTAATGTCATTTACCCTTTGTGATATTAATGCTTGGCTCTGCAGTTAAGAACACAAGTAAACTCACCTCGGACAGGCAGCCTAGTTTCCCAAAGAAAGTGAACTGGCAGCTTTTCAATCAGAATTGAGCCTATAATTCAATTAACAGTGCAGACAATATCGATGTTAATCAATGCTACATTCTGAAAAGAATGGGAGCACTGAGTGGATCAGTGCTTCAAGATTTGAGAGAAAAGAACACACTTCTGCCTTTGAGGCAACAGAGGCTTCCCTGAGCAGGGAAGGGTGCAGTCCCAGAGTTGGGCCTCCAGGGGTGGACTGGAAACTTACAAGGCCATCAATCACCTCCTAGGGCAATAGGCCTGAGAGCCAAAGACAGCTCAAGGTCCTAAAATAAATTCCTTTTAGCCCAGACTCAATGTTTCTCTCTCTATCTATCTATCTATCTATCTATCTCTCTCTCTCTCTCTCTCTCTCTCTCTCTCTCTCTCTCTCTCTCT